ATTATAAGGACTATTCCAGTTAACTGAGAAGTTCTCATTATCCGGACAACTCCAGTTAGCTGAGTGTCTTTTGAAGCCTCCTTAAACTTATCAACTTGTTGGGAAATGAGAACCTTCTTAAACAATCTGATAGTTTAAATCAAAGAACTTTTGTAAGAGAGATGTGGACTCTGATGTCAGACACACCCTTGTGTAACAAAGTTTTCTTGTGTCTAAAATAGAGAATATGATAATCACATACTAGGACTTCCTAAGTAGTAGTTTGTTTTGCAGATAGATTATATTTTAAAGAAATATAAAATATAAGAAAAACTATAGACAGATAGCTAGACAGACATTCCCATATTTATGGTGTCCGTCATTGTTTTGTGCGGCTGCACACTCACTTCTGTGAGAAAATTTTCTTCTGCTGATGAAATTTTCTTAACAGCTTTGCTGGTGCTAATCTACTTCTGACAGATTTTTGTATGCCTAAAAGTCTTTTCTTCAAAAATAGCTATTTGAACACACAAACATACTCGTATAACACACACACACACACACACACACACACACACACACACACACACACACACAGGGGGGATATTTGTTGTCCTTAGAACAGTTGTAAGCACAGTACTGAACCTTGAGGCTGACAGGTTTTCTGTACACTTCTTGCACCCAACACTTTCACTTTTAAAGGACAGTCTTGCTGGGTATAGAATCCAGTTGTATTTCAACAGTGTCTTTCTTTTCTCAAGTTTAATATGCTGCTCCACTGAATCTTCTTGCTTGTGTTATTTCTCACAAGATCACTGTCACTTTGGTTCTTTTTATGAAACTCACCCCTTACATGATTCTGTAATTTTCTGTGTTTATGTTTCTTGTGCTTTGATTTTTTGGGTTTCAGGGTCAATAGGCTTATAAAGTTATAAAATTCTTAGTCATGGTTTCTTCAAATACCTTTTCAGTCATCAACTCTGTGGAGTCTCAGGTTGTGTTAAATTGGTTAAAGTTGGCTAAAGCTTGTAGATATGAATCCTTATTGATTTTGTTTGGTTCTTTTCTTCTTTTTTCGGCACTTATATTTGGAATGATTATACTGTTGTCTAATCCATTAGTCTTTTTCCAATGTAATATTCACCTCTGGCAGGTAGGCCTTTAATGTTTCATTCATGTTTCTATTAATGAATATGTTTCCTTCCATATTTTTGAACACACAAGGTATGTGTATAGTACTGTCAATGTCCTCATTTCATTATTTCTGCTATCTGTGTCATTCCTGGGTCTGTTATGATTAACTTGTTCTGTTCATTGTGGATTATATTATTCCTGGTAATTTTTGTATTGTGATTTTTAGCTTGTTGGATGTGAGATAATTTTGTATTTCTATAAACATTCTTGAGGTTTGTCCTAAGGTGCAGTTAGGCTACTTGGGAAATTCTTAATCCTTTGGTTTTCAGCTTTGTTATGAGGGACCAAATCAAGCTTTTTCTAGGGCTGGCTTTGTTTTGCTAGCAAGACCATGAACTCTGAACTATATAATGTTAGGACTAAAATCTGGTGACTCATTTTCAGTTACAAATGACCCAGATACCTGCTAATGCTTGTTAGTCTATCTATCATCCCCATCTCTGCTAAACTGCTCCAACCCAGACTAGAAGTTTAGAGTAGAAAGTTACACCCAAACTTGCCTGCATTGTCATGTGTGTGATAATTTTGAAAGTAAACAGGATGCAAAAATAAAGCTGAGGCCACACATGGTGTTTGTTGAAAAAGACAGACTTAAGCAAACTTAGGACCTGGGCAATGTGAAGCTTGTGCCCTCCTGAGTACTTCGCAAGGTCATAGTAAATTGCTTTGCTTTTGCTACTCTGGGTTTCCAGCACTCCTTTTATGAACTGAGGATCATTGTTTGTACAAACACTCTGCCAAGCTTCTATATTTTATGGCATCTTTATTCTAATCATCAGGAGTAGGAGCTGGTTCTGGCTGTTCCTAAGCTGTGTGCTAGGGTTATTTCCTCTGGGCTAGCAAGCAATGCTAAGTGCTAAGCCTAAACTTGGGCATGTTTTTCACACACACGTGCTGGTTGCTACTCAGCTGAGAATATCCAAGGCCTCTCCTGTGTCCCTCCACTCCTTTCCTTCCTCCTTGATATTTTCCCCTGTGACCCTGACCTCTGAAAGGTAGGTCTACCTGAACTTCCAAATCTGCCTCAGTTTAAAAGTTTCCCTTTTCTACACTATGGCTTCAAAACTCTCTCTAGTAACAAGTTAGTTACTTGTGAAGCTTACGGGATATGGATTCTTCTCTTTTAGGGACCACTGTACTCCTGATGCTCAGGATCTGAAAACACACATTTCATTTCACCTACAGGTTCTAGCTTTCAGGTGAAAGAAGAAATCTTGTTCCTATTCTTTCATTATGATTGTAAGCAGAAGGCTGTATTAGGAAGAGTATGCCTGTGTGTGAATGTGCTTGTGTGTGTGTACCTGTACGTATATGTGCATGAGTATGTGCACACCTGTATATGTGCATACCCCTGTATGTGTATACACACATGTGGGTATCCCTGTGATGCCTAACATAACCATGAAATAGACCAGAAATTCTATTTTCTTCTACTTATGTGGTATGTTGTGATCTCTCTTTTTTTCCCCCCCAGAGCTGAGGATCGAACCTAGGGCCTTGCGCTTGCTAGGCAAGCACTCTACCACTGAACTAAATCCCCAACCGGTATGTTGTGATCTCAAGCTGAGCCTCCTGTTTATCTGAGATATTTCTGCTTCTCTGCTTTGAATATCACAGCTATCTGAAAGTCTCTGCATCTGGCAAGAAGGTCTCACTTCTGTGACTAATATCATCTAAATGATTTAGAAAGAAACACAAAGGTCTGATTTTAGCTTATAACCACAAACTGAACTTCATTAATTGCCTTATTAGTAATTTGTGAACATTAGCCACACAGGCCAGTGTGCAAAATTTTACTTTCCCTAGGAGAGAATACAGGAAGACGTGTGGCATCCAGTGGCTCACATGCAAATGGCGGCTGTAGTTCTTTGTTAAAAAATTTTTTAAATTCTTTTCTCATATATTATGTCCTGACCAAAGTATCTTCTCCCTCCATTCTTCCCAGGTCCCCCCTCTACCACCTACCTTCTCCTCCAGATCCACTCCTCCTCCACCCCTCCAAAAAAAAAAAAAAAAGAGTAGGCCTCCCAGGGATATCACCCGAACATGGCATAACAAGTTACAATAAGACTAGACACAAACCCTCATATCAAGACTGGACAAGGCAACCCAGTAGGAGGAAAAGGGTCCCAAGAGCAGGCAAAAGAGTGAGAGACACCCCCACTCCCACTGTTAGGAGTCCCACAAGAACACCAAGCTACACAATCATAACATACATGCAGAGGACCTAGGTCAGACCCATGCAGGTTCTGTGATGTCCTTTCAGTCTCTGTGAGCCCCTATGAGCCCCGCTTATTGATTCCATGGGTTGTGTTTTCCTGGTGTCCTTGACCCCTCTGGCTCCTATAATCCTTCCTCCCCCTCTTTTGCAGGGTTCTTGAGCTCCACCTAGTGTTTGGCTATGGATCTCTACATCTGCTCTCTTCAGTTGATGAGTGAAGCCTCTCTGATAACAACGGGGCTAGGCTCCAACCTATGAGTATAACAGGATATTATTAGGAATCATTTCATTGCTCCCCCCCTTTTTATGAGCAGTCATGTTCAGTCTTTTCCCAGGTCTCTGGGATATCCAGTCTCTGGTTCCTGAGCTATCCAGGTAGTGTCAGATGTGGGCTCACTCAACAGACACAAGCAACAATCAACAGAATACAAGAGATAGAAGAGAGAATCTCAGGTGTTGAAGACATGATAGAAGAAGTTGATTTATTGGTCAAAGAAACTGCTAAATCTAAAAAATGCCTGACACAACACACATCTGGGAAATCTGAGGCACTATGAAAATATCAGACCTAAGAATAATAGAATAGGCACCACATTTGTAAAAGAAACATTACTAAAGCTTAAATCACTTATAGACACATGGATAGTTGGAAACTTCAATACCCCACTCTCACCAAATAATAGGAATAATTTGAAGTCCAGTTCAAAGGCCCAGAAAATATTTTCAACAAAATCATAAAAGAAAAATTTCCTAACTTAAAGAAGGACATGCCTATAGAGGTACAAGAAGCTTTAAGAACAAATAGATTGGACCAGAAATCAAAGTCCCCTCACCACATAATAATGAAAATACTAAACACACATTAAAAAAAATACTAAAAACTGCAAGGGAAAAAGGCCAAGTAACTATAAAGTAGACCTATCAGAATTACACCTGACTTCTCAATATAGATTCTAAAATCCAGAAGATCCTGGACAGATGTGCTGCAGACTCTAAGGGACCACAGATGCCAGTCAAGACTACTATACCCAACAAAACTTTCAATCACCATTGTTGGAAAAAACAAAATATTCCATGATAAAGTAAAATTTAAACAGTATTTATACATAAATCCAGCCCTACAGAAGGTACTAGAAGGAAAACTCTAACCCAAGGAAGTTAACTACACCCATGAAAACATGGACAATAAATAATCTCACACCCACATAATCCAGAGAAGGCAAACACACACACACACACACACACACACACACACACACACACACACACACACACACACACACGTAAACAACTGTAACAAAATAACAGAAATTAACTGTCATTGGTCATTGATATCTTTCAATATCAATGGACTCAATTCCCCAATAAAAAGACACAGATCAACAGAATGGATGCAAAAACAAGATCCATCCTTCTGCTGTATACAAGAAACCCACCTCAACATCAAAGGTAAACATTACCTCAAAGTAAAAGATTTAAAAAAGATTTTCTAAGCAAATAGCCCCCACACAAAAAAAATAAGCTGGTATAGCTATTCTAGCATCTACAAAATAGTGTCTAGTATCAATAAAGTAGACTTCAAAAAAAATTAATCAAAAGAGATGAAGAAGGGCACTTTATACTCATCAAAGGAAAAATCCACCAAGATAGCTTTTCAATTCCCAACATCTATATCCCAAACATAAGGGCACTCACATTTTTAAAAGAACCATTATTAAAGCTTAAATCACACATAGACTCTTACAAATGGATAGTTGAAGACTTCAATACCCCACTCTCACCAATTAACAGGTCACCCAAACATTAAGTAAACATAGAAATAGTGGCATTAACAGACATTATAAACCAAATGGATCTAACAGATATCTATAGAATATTTCACCCAAACACAAAAGAATATACCTTCTTCTCAGCACCTCACAGAACATTTTTCAAAGTTAGCCACATAGTCAGTCACAAAGCAAGTCTCAACAGATATAAGGAAATTGAAATAATTCTCTGCATCTTATCAGACTACCAGGGATTAAAACTGGATATCAACAATGGCAGAAACAACAGAAAACCTACAAGCTCATGGAAACTGAACAACTCTCAATGACTACTGGGTCAAGGCAGAAATCAAGAAAGAAATTAAAGACTTCCTAGAATTCCATGAAAGCAAATGTAGACCACACCCAGACTTATGGGACATGATGAAAACTGTGCTAAGAGGAAAGTTCATAGCACTAAATGCCATCCTAAAGAAATCAGAGAAATCTCACACTAGCGATTTAACAGCACATCTAAAATCTCTAGAACAAAAAGAAGTAAATCACACCCAAGAGGAGTAGATGGCAGGAAATAATCAAACTGAGGGCTGAAATCAATAAAATAGAAACAAAGAGAATGATACAAAGAATCAATGAAAAAAAGAGTTGGTTCTTTGATAAAATCAACAAGACAGACAAACCCTTTCCAAACTAACTAAAAGACAGAGAGAAAGTATCCAAATTAACAAAAGCAGATGTAATTCTAACACATTTTCATAGACAAGTCACTTGCAGATTCCTCAGGATAAAGTCTGTAGACAGCAACAGTTCTTGGCTGCAGAGGTTGGCAACTTCTATGCTATTTTTATTACCAAAAATGCACAACCTAATATCTACATTTCTCAACAAAAATCATATGCAGAGTGCCATGGTCAATCTTGGTTGTCACAGTGACTGGATCTAAATCAACTAAAGGCAAGCTGATGGATTCTCCTTTGAGGACTTTTCTTGATCACATTATTTGAAGCTGTAAGGCCCACCCAAAGTGTTTCCAGAACCTCCCAGATGAAAGGACATAGGAAAAGAGAGGCTTTGCTTTTTGCTCGCTTGCTGGTATGCTTGCTGGCAAGTATATCCCTAAGGTTGCTGCCACTGCTCCATTTCTTCACAGTTGTTAGAAGCAGCTTCTTCGGCATGGGGTTTCACAGATTGAGTCTCCAGCATTAGTCCACCATTATTAGGCTACCCAGACCATACTGTGTAAGACAGTCTACTAAATCTCCCTTTAATGTGTATTCTTTCTAGTAAATCTATTTCTCTAGGGAAGCCTGATAGACTAATAAATCACCTATCATTTCCTTAGTTTTTGAGTTACAGAATCCAAAATAGCTACTGCTTAATGAGAAAATATGTTCAAGAAATTATTTCCAATCTTCAAAGTAACTGTGCAAGGAAATACCTAGTATCCAGTCTTTTCACTGTTTTCAACACAACATTGAAATGTTGGTTATTATGACCTAGGAAGAAATTCTGTTCCACACTAGCCTTTGACGGGATTCTAAGAATGAGTTACCAACACACAGTTAGCTTGTCAACATGATAGAATAGAATATTATGGTATTTTTGGTCAGACTGATACATACTCAAATCTCATTCACTTAATTTATTGTTTTTATGATCTTAGAAGGAATACTTATCTGAATGAGTCTCAGATTTTATTAATAAATAATAAGAAAAGCCAGCCTTGTCAGACCACTCGCTATGTGACAGACATTGTAGTGAGATGAAAAAAGAACTATTATTATTCTCATTTCCAGGAAAATGAGGCTTAGAGAGTCATTTTCTCTGAATCATAAAAACAGTTAGTGGACAAAGAGGATCTGAACCTCAGCTACAACAGTGTCATGGAAAACACTTGAAATGGCACTGATTGTAAGTCCTGGGTAGTAGAGATGACACTCACATGTTCCTGATACAATCCATGTTACCTCCTTTCTCACTGTGATCTCTTTAAACAAAAGGCACATACAAGGGGAGGTAACAACTCAAAATTTAGCTCTTTAGTGACTAAGATATTTACAGTCTATGAACATTTGAGCCAGTTTTTCATTGTTGTGACAAAATATACTAAAACATGATTTAAGGGAGGGAATCTTTACCTTGGCCCTCAGGTTTACCGGATTCAATCCGTCATCCCTTGCTCTGTTGATTCACAGTCTGTTGTGAGACAGAACATCATGGGGCTGAGCATGTGGAGGGGGGATGGCGGATCAAAAGCAGAGAAAGGGAGATTGTAAGAAGGGATCAAGTGAGGTATCAGCTCAGTGATCTGTGCTTCATCAACTCTACCACCTCCAAATAATCCGATCATAGTGTGAACCATCAAGGGATCAAGCCATTGATTAGGTTATAGTCTCTGAGGTCCAATGACTTTGCCAAACTGGCAATCTAGCCCTCACTGCCTGAGTTCATGAGGGACACCTTATATTAAAGCATGACAGTGGGAAAATCTAAATTCAGAAAATGAAAGCAATTTTAAGATATTTTAATAATGATATTACTCTTCTCCCTATGGGCTCCATGTTTGAAGATTTACATGAATGAAGACAATCTTGTGTATGGTTATGTGAGACTGGCACTAGGATTAACTTTCTTCCTAGGGAGAGAGACTCAGGATGTGGACACCTTAGACAGATTTGCCTGCTCTGGGATGGAATCGATCCAGACTTTGGTCCAGGCAGTTTGACTGTCTCTGCACCATGCCACCTCAGCATAGCTCCTAATACAGCATTTCCATAGAGCACCTTTTGCATTTTGTTTATTGAGGAGAAGGTAGCTTGGTGTTGAAGTTAGGATCTTCACAGACAAAGCACACAATGCACCTCTCTGGTACATATTCAGCTTTTTTCCCATTTCTGTCCAAATCCAGCTGTGTACTAGCCGCCAGGATTGCCATAATTCAAAGAGGATGTTACTCTGTTCCTAGACACAGTTTCCCCTAAAGGTAATGTCACAAGTTCAAGGCAGGTTACACAAATATTTCCTTTTCACTTTCCAACGTGTACTTACCCTTCTGCCCCAGCCTGATTCCGGATTCCTGCTCAGGAAAGCCAATTTCCAGCCAACAGGGGTCAAATGAACAAAATCCTGGAAATCGTGTGAGAAATCCTTTCCTCCCAGGGCTACAGTAATTACATCCTTGATAATGAATTGCTCATCAGTTCTGCAGGAGACAGAAGTGATTGCCTCTGCAGGTAGCAATCATTTTTATGCAACTGCCACAATTATCAGTCCCCTTCAGGATGATTGGGATTTAGCAATGGAGACCAGAAAGGTAGAAGGTGTTTGAAGATATGGGCTAATATCAAAAAACAGAAAAGACATCACATCTTTACTCCTCTGAAGGGTGCTTAGCATATAAGCCGTGGATACAAAAAAAAAAAAAGCCATCAATGTTTCTGAGTCTGTTCCCTTAAAGGATTGAATGCCCATTGTACATTTATCCCCCACACACTGTGTGTGTGTGTGTGTGTGTGTGTGTGTGTGTGTGTGTGTGTGTGTGCTCAAACATGCTCATACTTACCATGATAAGTGTAATATGTGGAAGTGGGCTCTCTCCCTCTATCATGTGGGTCCTGAGGTTTGAACTCCAATCATCAGGCTGCATGGCAGCAAGCTCTGTTGCCTGCTAAGCCATCAGCCCCCTCACCCCGATGTGATGGCTTTTAAGATGTACCAAAGTCTGTCTGTCTTCTTCACTTTTGCCTCTGTTAATGTGTTGACACATGTATGTCTGTGGTGGTTCATGCTTGGTAACTTTCGGTGTTGATGGCAGTATCAAAATGTCATGCTCTCCTGACACTCAGGAAAGTAATTTGGTAACAGGTACACAAACCTTCACTTTTATCTTCTTTTTCTTTGGCATTTAGCTTGGGAAACACAACCTGGAGAAATAAAGAAAAACTCAGAAAAAGACTTAAGTGCTTAGGGCTACTCCTAACAGCAAAACAGAAAACACTTCCCAGCTTGATGAGGACAGATCATTAAATAAGCCATGCTTCATTAAGTGATGGCGTATTATGCAGCCATTAAAAGTCATGTTTTTGAAGAGTAGTTAATGACATATGGGAATGTTCATTACAGAATGTCAAGTGGAAAAAACTGAACAATCAAAGTTGAACTACAGTAGATAGAGTGTGATTTACTAAGCATCCATTATGTAATCCTGAAAGGTTTTACAGGTAGAGGATTTTATGTTCATATATCAGGAAAGAAAACAAAGATTGAGTGTGTGCCCCCCTCTCTCTCTCTCTCTCTCTCTCTCTCTCTCTCTCTCTCTCTCTCTCTCTCTCTCTCTCTCTCTCTGTGGTGTGTGTGTGTGTGTGTGTGTGTGTGTGTGTGTGTGTGTGTGTGTGTGTGTATGTGTGTGACAGAGACAGAAATGGAGACACAGAAAGATTGGGAAAATGTGGGGGAGACACAAACTGTACTTGCATTTACCATGAAAGAGCAGGAAACAAAAATAATTATTTTCTTTACCCATGATTCCTTTAAGGTGGGGACTTCTATCTTAAGCAGCCATTACATTTACAATTAGAAAAAAAATGATAAATATCAATTGAAATGTTCTGGACAACTAAGGAACAAGGAGCTTTGGGAAAGAATACTTTCCTAAGCTGGACTCCTTTAAGCAGGACACACAGCTACCTCCGTTCAAACACCCAACTTGAACATACACTTGATAGCCTTTGCAAGTCTTGGGTTAGTATTGATCAGGCAGGAGCTGGAAGTCTCCTGCAAATAACTCTTGTCTCAAAATGAAACATCCTGGCAACTGCACCCAGGGTTTCTGAGGGAATTGTTGAATTCTTGTTAAAGCCATGGCATCCTTAGTCAGTACAAGGCTGGGGGCTCAGTGTGTGCAACAAAAGCTCCATGGGACTCCTCCCCACCAATGCCACCAGATGCTATGAGGACCATCAGCCAAAAGAAACACAACAGAGGGCATCTCTGAACTCCAGAGAGGCTGCACAGGCAGGTAGAGCTGGGGCAGAAAATCCTTCCAATGAGTTCTGACCAGCAACCTCCTGTTAGGATCCTGACCTTGAACTTAGGGAATTACTTCCCTTCTCTGAATTCCGCCATTCTCCTGTCTGAAATAAGAACAGTAGTGATGATGATGACGATGGTGGCGATGATGACAATTCATGGCTTAAACTACTTTCTAGATCAACACTCAGCTCTCTCTTTGGGTGAAATGGCAGGGCATCTTTAAATTGTAGGAAGGATGGATATGACCTAATCCCCTCTTCAGAACTTCCCTGACCTCATTTCCTAGCCCTCCATTCTTTACTTCATTCAGGCATAGTTCTCTTTCTTTCTGCTTATGCATAAAACGTAAGCATCTTGAATTCTCAGCTCTTTGACTATCCATATGTCTACTTCTACTAAGTCCCTTCTTCCTAAGATCAATCATTCCTCTTCACACTGCCTTTCTTTTATTTTTATATTCTATTGCATATTCATCTTTTGACTTTTTCCATCATCTCCTACATAGCTGTTGGATTATAAACTACAGAAAGCCATATAAATTTTGTCTTTGGTTATTGTTCATTGATATCTTCAAACATCTTGAACAGTATCTGGCACATGAAAGGTACTCAGAATATAGTTGTTGAATGAAAGTATGGTTGGGAGAATGGGATGAATGGAGGGAAGGAGAGGATAAATGGATGAACAAATCATCCTCTAATTTGATAGAACTGATGGTTACTTAAGGTGTGATGGCTTGAATGTTCAGGTATATACTTATTTGTCTCTTATTTGGTCTAATGTTTAGCCAATCCTTTAGAAATCAATTTCTCTCTTACACCCTTCTTGTTCAAAGCCTTTAGTACCTAAGTACATAGAGATATATCACTAATTTAGACTTCTCTGCAGCCAGCCAATGGGAAAGCACCTCGAGATGCCATTTGATGTGAATGTATACAAATAAAATTGTATACCTCTGGAACAGATAGGCTAAAGTCATTCCCTTCCCAAATCCATGGGGTCAAGGCTTTCTATAAAGGCTTTTGGTCAGGTATTATGTACGACAAATTTTAGCTGTCATACTTGCCTCACCCAAGGGGTCTCTTGACTTTATGAATGAATTGTAATTTCCCAAATAAATAAAACCAGTTTATGATACCTGTGAGTTTTCTAGATACTTCCCAAGACCCTTGGAAAACAGTGCATGACTCATTACTTAACTCATTGCTATGAAAAAAAAGCCTTACTAAAGCACTTGAGGAAAAGAGGGCTTACACAGTTTAAAGGATACAGTCCAGCATGGAGGAAGGAATGTGAGGCGCTCTGGATGCCTGGGCTTAGCTCAGTTTCTTCTTTGCAGGCAGTTCAGCACCCCAGCACTATTCCATAGATGACCCTGTGGAATGGAATGGGCTCACCCCTGTAGGGCAAGTCTTCCTACCTATTAACCTAACCTAGCAAATTCCCAAGTGATTCTACATCACATCAAATTGATGATCAAGATTAACTGTCAAGAATATTGGTCCAGAAATCCTGATGTGGTTGGGAAGTGTGTACTTCAGGCTGAGGCACACTTTGTGGCTCACTAGTGGGTGCTCCCGTCATTGGCATTGTTGTAGTTACTGCTCCTGTTGGTCTTTAATAGCCCTCAGCCATGTACGCAGAGGTTTGGGCCACTGCTCCTACTTCTTTGTTGCAGAAACCTTGCCCAGAATTGGACTGACTGGTAAGATTAGCTCAAAAAGCCACTTACTGTCATCTCGATAAAAGCAAGTTCTCTCCAGACTATCTTACTTCCTCCATTACCCCAGGTCTCTGTGGAGGTGATCAATAAAAACATATAAAGTGCTCAGAAGGGCATTGTCCCCAGCAGAGGGGACCAAATGACAGACTCAAAGAAAGGTTTCTTGGCACTGCTTGGACTCCCTAATGTCAAGCATTCTTGACTTTAATGATTGTTTTTGCTATTTTGCACAACATGATGCAATTTCTCTTTTCTGAGATTTCAGAACAGGATGATCCTTTTTTTTGCTTGGGTCTTTTTCAGACAATCACTATAGAGTTCATGCATAATCACTTAGAGTGGCACAAAACAAAATCTAGAAAGAAAACAAACAACAAAAAAGGAGAAATCATGAGACATTCAAACCACACAGAAAAACCTTAGTGTGTAGCCACTGACAGGGAGGGAGCTGGGGGACTGTGGGTGTCTTCGGGGACTCTGCAAAGATGGCAATGGTATTGTCACAGGGTCTCAGATTTTGATCATGATGTTGCCCATCAAGGTAAACTTGATAATTTATCTACTCTGTCCTCAGCTCCTCAGGTCACAGGTGGATTGGTAATCTCCCCTGATGGGCCGACGTGAAGACTACGGGTAATTCCGTAACAGTTTTTAGTAACAATTGGTGTAGAGCACACTGTTATTGTGTGGAGCCACACCTCTTTTTAATTTCCTGGGGTCTGTGAACCCACATGTGACGAACGGTGGGCTTTATCCTACAGCCACTCAAACCCTCTGCTTCTTAGTCCCTCTGTATTGCTGGCTATTTTCTTCCTTCAGATCTCCAGTGATTGCAACAATTTCCATAATCTTGTCACCTTAATTGCTGCTGTCACTGTGAGCACTGAAATTAATTTTGATTTCTTTTTGTTTTTGCTTAACGCTTGGAATGTGACTAATGAGATTATTTCTGGCTTCTGCTGGAGCAGTGTTCCTGTGAACATGACCAGTGCTGGCCTGAGTTCTGTATGTGGGTCTTCTTTCTGTCCAGAGACCTCACACGTGCCGAGCATCTCAGGGAAGAGAACCATTTGGCTGTGGTCATTTCAGCCAAATGACCTCTAAATGGTGTATTCTGCCTGAAGAGTCTCTCTTTTACATCTCAATGGAATCTCACACTTGGGTCCTAAGGAAGGAAACTTGGCTATGCAAAGGAAGGGAAGCAAAGGAAATTTACTGAGTGTCTAGGCATTATATTGCTTGATGTCAATTAATCAACTACCCACCAGAACTTGGAGAGTTAAACAGAAAGGGATTCACTCTACAAATAAAGTCAGGAAACTAACTATTAAGGAGCAAACCTAAGACTCAAATCTGAATACAGTGGATGCTAAAGGCCACACTCACTGTGATAAAACTCCCGTAGAGGACTCTGAAATCAGAATCTGGGGTCTTTGGTTATGGCTACATGCAGTACCTATCTAGTTAATCAGAGTTCTCCAGAGGGACATAATACATTATCATAATAACAGGTATTAATATAATAAGCATACACTAATATATACTGTTTACATACACAAAGGGAATGTATTGGATTGGCTTACACTGATAGGGGCTAGGTACCGTAGCAATGGCTGTCTGTGTGTGGTAGAGGTGGGTTATCCTGTAGCCAATCCAAGGCCAATCCATCTCAGCTGTTCTGGTTGGGCACTGAAAGCCTGAAAACCTGGGCAGTTTGAGTCCACACTGGAAGATCCAAGAGGCTGGAACCCGATGTTATTGGCTCTCAGTAGCAGCAGTGGGTGGACTTAGAACAAGGAGAGGCAGGTGGGCTCTGCCTGCTATGAAGTGTTGTTTCCCTAGTGCAGTCTTTGCCCCATGCAGCCCATTCTCCCCATGACAGATTATAATGATTTGAAAAACTTAAATCTCATTATTTTAATCTCCATGCATTATTACAACTTCAATGGCTTTCTATTGTGTAAAAACAATTTGGCAGTCAATTAAACACCAATATTCTCATCAAGAAGGCTGGCCCTATGATTTATTTTTATTAGTGTAAGGAGGCAAAAATGGTGCCTTGTAGCACCCAACGCTGGTCCTTAAAAGACCTTCAGCTCCCGGCTGGAGTGCTCTTTCTTGGAGTCAATAGCCATGCTGCAAGGAAGCCCAAGCTCACCATGTCATAAA